ACACACTAAAACCAAACAGGGCTGCTTTCAGATGTCTTCTAAAGTTGTATAGTTATCCTATCTCCTTGGCTGGAGGAGGCGGGTCACATAACTCCATACCCTCCAACATATCTCCAATGAAAATAGGGACGTCCTACCATGCCCTCCAACATTTCTCCAATAAAAGAGAGACGTTTCCCTATTGCCAGGGGCATTTCTCCTTTCTTGTGGGGCAGTTGAGGCCCTTCACAACCAGAATCAGGAAAGAGATCAAAGTACAGGTTAGATAAAATACCAGTGTACTGGAAGAAGCAAAGATCACCAGAGTTGAAGAAATGATTCTTTAACGTAAACTTTGTTGGACCGGTCATGTTGTGCAGATGCCTGATTATCGTCTTCCAAAGCAACTACTCTATTCCGAACTTTAAAAATGGAACGCGTAATGCTGGTGGTCAACAAAAGAGGTTTAAAGACTGTCTCAAGGCAATTTTTTTTTAAAATGTAGTAAAAGGGACGCGGGTGGCGCTGTGGGTAAAAGCCTCAGCGCCTAGGGCTTGCCGATCAAAAGGTCGGAGGTTCGAATCCCCGCGGCGGGGTGCGCTCCCGCTGATCGGTCCCAGCGCCTGCCAACCTAGCAGTTCGAAAGCACTCCCGAGTGCAAGTAGATAAATAGGGACCGCTTACCAGCGGGAAGGTAAACGGCGTTCCGTGTGCTGCGCTGGCTTGCCAGATGCAGCTTTGTCACGCTGGCCACGTGACCCGGAAGTGTCTCCGGACAGCGCTGGCCCCCAGTCTCTTGAGTGAGATGGGCGCACAACCCTAGAGTCTGTCAAGACTGGCCCGTATGGGCAAGGGTACCTTTACCTTTACCTTTTAGTATAAACACCAACAATTGGGAAACACTTGCCTGCGAGTGCTCCAGTTGGAGAACAGCCTTGACCAAAGGTGTTGTGGACTTTGAAGACACTCGAACTCAGGACACAAGGGAGAAGCGTGCTAAGAGGAAGGCATGCTTGGCAAATCCACACTGTGATCAATTCCTGCCTGGAAACCTATGTTCCCACTGTGGAAGGACGTGTGGATCCAGAATTGGCCTCAACAGTCACTTATGGACTCATTATTAAAACCGTGTTTATGGAAGACAATCTTACTCGGCTAAGAGGGATCGCCAAAAGGGAGGAAGAGGAAGAGGAAGAGGAAGAAGAAGAAGAAGAAGAAGAAGAAGAAGAAGAGGAGGAGGAGGAGATAAAAGGTTGTAACTTTAATCGATCCAGCACCCAAGAACCTCCCAGCAATTCCCCTTTTATTTGGTCAGGTCAATGCTCTAATCGCCCTAACAGGTGTTCCAAGCCCCACTGCTCATTTGGCCCTCCTGCTGCGAGTCCCAATTTGGGAGTCCCAGAGGCGAAGCTGGAATATATTTCTCTTTCTCCTGGCAGCGGATGTGATTTCCTAACGCAGGCGGGGTCAGGTTACCTGCAGCAACGGCCCTGCAACCCGTCATGACATTACGAAACCCTGTGCAAGACCCAGAGCACCTCTGCCTCTGCTGACTCAGTGGGAAGTGTGTTGTTGTCCTTGTCTCCAAGGTGAGGAGAGACCGTGGATCATGGCCAGGTTGCCAGGGCAGAAATGAGGAAATGAGAAAGTGGCACATGCGATTGGTGACACCGGGAGAGAAGGGGACAGGATGGGAGGACTGAAATGATGAGTGCCATTGCCTTGTTTTTTTAGTTTTTGTTTTTTTATGGGATTCTTTTAATATTTATTTCCAATTACAAATCTTTATCATTACTATTTTATTTTCAGTTTTTCATCATTAACATCATTCAAACTTCAATTCAGCAATATAGAATTGAGGGCCTTCTGGCGGTTCCCTCCCTGCGAAAAGTGAGGTTACAGGGAGCCAGGCAGAGGGCCTTCTCGGTGGTGGCACCCGCCCGGTGGAACACCCTCCCAGCAGATGTCAAGGAAATAAACAACTATCTGACTTTTAGAAGACATCTGAAGGCAGCCCTGTTTAGGGAAGCTTTTAATATTTCATGAATTATTGTATTTTAATATTTTGCTGGAAGCTGCCCAGAGTGAATTGTTGAAACCCAGCCATTTGGGTGGGGTATAAATAAATAAATTATTATTATTATTATTACTACTACTACTACTACAACTGTGTGGTTCCCTGAACCCCCGGACTTCCCTCCTCCCCCTTCTTGTTTTCCACAGATACGTTTTTTAATTTTTGTTGTTGTTTAGTCGTTTAGTCGTGTCCGACTCTTCGTGACCCCCTGGACCAGAGCACTCCAGGCACACACCCAGCTCCTCATAAGGCTTGGCTTCCAGACCCTTTTATGCTTCCTGCTTTGCAGGGGTTGGAGTAGATGACCTTTGGAGATCCCTTCCAACTCTGCAATTTTATGATTCCTGCATTGCTGGGGGTTGGGTCTTCATGACCCTTGCGGGGGGGGGGGGGACCTCCTAACAATTCCACGAGAGATTTCCCCACCTCCTTCTAAGAGGAATAGGCTTCTGCCTAGAACTGCAGATGAATTCCGGACCTGGGGTTTCTTTCTTTTCTTTTCTTTTTGAATTTACATTTTATTTATTTGTTAACATTCTTATATTACATCGGTAAACATCGTCATATTACATTACAGGACTTAAGGTAAAAGGTAAAGGTACCCCTGCCCGTACGGGCCAGTCTTGACAGACTCTAGGGTTGTGCGCTCATCTCACTCTAGAGGCCGGGAGCCAGCGCTATCCGCAGACACTTCCGGGTCACGTGGCCAGCGTGACATCGCTGCTCTGGCGAGCCAGCACAGCACACGGAAACGCTGTTTACCTTCCCACCAGTAAGCGGTCCCTATTTATCTACTTGCACCCAGGAGTGCTTTCGAACTGCTAGGTTGGCAGGCGCTGGGACCGAGCAACGGGAGCGCACCCCGACCTTTCGATCGGCAAGCCCTAGGCGCTGAGGCTCTTACCCACAGCGCCACCCGCGTCCCTATTACAGGACTTACTATAATATAATTTCCAACATGTATACAAAAATGATATACACATTTTATATACCTAAAAAGAAAATGAAACAAAAAAGAGAAAAAACAAAAACAATCCCTCCCCAAAAATCATATACATACCAACACACTAGACTTCCTGTCTTTCCCATTGTATATTCCTTTTTTTTTTTTTTACAAATGAATGTACTCTTATTATTGTATATTTCTTTACATATTATCTAATACATTCCTCTATTAATATGCGCCTGTTGTCTTTGTCCATGGGAGGCTGATTTTGTCCATAAAGAAGGCGGATTGCCGAAGAATTGATGCTTTTGAATTCTGGTGCTGGAGGAGACTCTTGAGAGTCCCATGGACTGCAAGAAGATCAAAAATCTCCATTCTGAAGGAAATCAGCCCTGAGTGCTCACTGGAAGGACAGATCCTGAAGCTGAGACTCCAATACTTTGGCCACCTCATGAGCAGAGAAGACTCCCTGGAAAAGACCCCCATGTTGGGAAGGATGGAGGGCACAAGGAGAAGGGGACGACGGAGGACGAGATGGTTGGACAGTGTTCTCAAAGCTACCAATGAGTTTGACCAAACTGCGGGAGGCAGTCGAAGACAAGAGTGCCTGGCGTGCTCTGGTCCATGGGGTCACGAAGAGTCGGACACGACTAAGCGACTAAACAGCAACATAGGAGGGAGAAGTGCCCTTAAGATGCTCACCATCCTCCCTATCTCTGGAAATCTAGCTGCCTTCTAAAGGCTGCAGAGAGATACATGCCATGTGTACCTCTGCTGGACAATAGCATCATGAGAAGAGGCTGCTGGTCAGACCATACAGTCCAGCTTCCTGTTCTCACATTGGCCAGGCAGTTGCCCTAATGGGGAACCAGCAAGCAGGATTCGAACACAGGAGCCCTGTCCCCTCCTCAGGTTCCCAGCAACTGGTGCTCAGAAGCACATACCCGCCAACATTTCTCCAATGAAAATTGTTGTTGTTGTTTAGTTGTATAGTCGTGTCCGACTCTTCGTTAACCCCCTGGACCAGAGCACGCCAGGTCCTCCTGTCATCCACTGCCTCCCGCAGTTTGGTCAAACTCATGCTGGTAGCTTTGAGAACACTGTCCCACCATCTCGTCCTCTGTCGTCCCCTTCTCCTTGTGCCCTCCATCTTTCCCAACATCAGGGTCTTTTCCAGGGAGTCTTCTCTTCTCATGAGGGGGCCAAAGTACTGGAGCCTCAGCTTCAGGATCTGTCCAATGAAAATAAAAAGGTAAAGGTACCCCTGCCCATACGGGCCAGTCTTGCCAGACTCTGGGGTTGTGCGCTCATCTCACTCTTTAGGCCGGGAGCCAGCGCTGTCCGCAGACACTTCCGGGTCATGTGGCCAGCGTGACAAGCTGCATCTGGCGAGCCAGAGCCGCACACGGAAACGCCGTTTACCTTCCCGCTGGTAAGCGGTCCCTATTTATCTACTTGCACCCGGAGGTGCTTTCGAATTGCTAGGTTGGCAGGCGCTGGGACCGAGCAATGGAAGCGCACCCCGCCGTGGGGATTCGAACCGCCGACCTTTCGATCGGCAAGCCCTAGGCGCTGAGGCTTTTACCCACAGCGCCACCCGCGTCCTGTCCAATGAAAATAGGGACATTCTATTCCATAATAATAGGAATACCCTGCCCATCTGATTGGGTTGCCCCAGCCACTCTGGGTGGCTTCCAACATATAATAATAAAACATTTTTTCAAAAAACCCATCCCTAAACGACTCAACAACAGCAATCAATATGCGCTCTTAGTCTTATTTCTCAATTCAGTCTCACTCCAACGTCAATCAAATGCTAGCATCCGGACCCGAGGTTGCAGCTGTCGCCCCTCTCTTTCCAGACTAGTCCCACGCCTTTGTGGGGGGGGGGGTCCCGCGTGACGGGCCCCGCTTGCAAGGCGACCCCGAGGGGGCGCGCTTGCAGGCTCGGGGCGGCGCGTGTCACCCGAGCCGGGGCGGAGCCCGGCTTGCCCGGCTGCCTGGTGCAATCCGCGCCGCCTGCCGCATCAGCCGGACCGAGGCGGAGCCGCGGCTGCGGGAGTTACATCATCCCCGACGGCGCGGCCAGGAGCCGCAGCGGCCGCGCAGACAAAGGCGCTCGCCGCTGGGGGACGGCGCATTCGCCCTCGCCGCTTGCACCATGGAGCGTCGCTGCTGCTGTTGCTCTTAGGCGGGGAGGGACGCAGGATCCCACCCTACCCGCCGCCCCGAGGCGGGGGTCCTCTGGATTGGGTTCTCCCCCTGACCTTGGATTCCGCATACCCTGCAGGATCGTCGGGCAAGGAAGGGAGGAAAAACACTCCGGAGTTGCGGGGCGAGAAGGCAAGAGAAGGACCCCCTCTCCAAAAAAAGAGACCCGCATATAGGGAACGCCGTCGAGGCCGCCGCCGCCGCCAAAGGTACAGAAGGGGGCTAAGAAGGACGTGGGGTGGGGAGGGGGCTCAGGTGGGCACCGGTTGCTGGCCCCACCTGGATCTCGGGGGGAGGGAGGGCGAGAATCGCTTAGCCCCCGGACCTGATTTCAGCCCCGAAGGACCCATTGGGTGGGTGTCTCTCTGGCGAGCCACTACCGTCTTTGCTGCAACAGGCTAAAAAAGGGGCTCCACTCTGGCCATGCTCAGAGGCAGCCTCGGCATACAAAGCGGCTTTCCTTCAGCGGCACCCAGGCGTTTGGGAATAGGAAGGAAGAATTCTAGGCAAAAGGACTGCGGACCCAGCAGACGGAGCATCCGGGCATAATCCAGGGGGCAGAGGAGCTGCCTTGCTTGCAGAATGACCCAGGTTCAGTGCCAAGCACCACCAGATAGGTCTCTCTACCTGAAACCCAGGAGAGCTGCTGCCAGCCAGTGTGGGTGGTGCTGAGTGAGTTGGGTTCTTTAGCGTCGCAGGGGGTTGGACTAGATGGCCCTTAGAGATCCCTTCCAGCTCTACGGTTCTGATTGTGTGACTGGCTGGGAATAAGGCATCCTTGCATATTTGTTCTCGGTTTGAAAAATGAGTCCAAATTGCAGCCATTTAATTAACAGGCATAGGATTCCAGCCAGGCTGAGGCTGTTGCTTTCTGTTCCTTATGGGTCGCAACTGCAGAAAGTGAATTTGGGGCCTGACATGTGGCCCCTGGGGTCAGCTAAGTCTTTTCCTGGAGAACAGCCTCTTGGATCCTGCGGCTGAGGAGCAGAAGCTTTCCTGCGGCTGATTAAATATAGACATCTCCGTCAGTCAGTATCACATCACGGAGTGACTCGCAATGAATCTTCAGACTTCCTCCGCAGCAAACAATTGCGGTTGCCTCGGGTGAGGCGAGGCAATTCAGAAAATGTTTGATGCAACAGGCGAGTAAGAGCCTTTAAAAAAAAGCCGTGCAAATTAGGTCCGCAAAAATGATTAGCCAATAAAACCTTTCTTACTAACATACCTGCCTTAGTCATAACCAGCTGTTGCGCAACTAAATGGCATTAGCTTTCCCCTCTCTGGTCGCCTGGGGCGATTCTGAACTAGTCACAGGTGACCAAGTGAGTGGCAGCCTCTTTTAAAGGAGGGTGCCCAGTGCTCAGAGGCTTGACCCAGACCACTTTTTCCAAAGGCTTCCATGTGGAGTCTGCAGTATCTGATTTGGGTCAGACCAAATCTGTGCATGTGCAGAGTTTCTTTTTCTTTGAATGAGGTGGAGTACCTTTGTAATGAACATAGTTGTGAGTGGGGAAAACAGCTGAGGAACAGCAATGCCCACCTTTCCCCCTCCCCAAAATATTGTTGCCATGACAGATACTGTGACAGAGCCCATAGGATACAACTGCATGTCGGTCTGGATCAATTATCCAGGAACAGCATGGACACCAGCAACGAAGGACAGAAGTAAAAGATGGTGTAGCGATAATCAGTGTAGCAGCTGCAAAAGCTAAAGGGCACATTGTATGTGAAGATGTGTATGGCTGTGCTGGCTTGGGCTGATGGGATTTGTAGTGCAAAACATCTGGAGGGCATCAGGTTGGGGAAGGCGGGCTTAGAGCTTCCTGCTGGCTGTTCTCTTGCTCCAAATTTTCCCCAGCTGCACCAGGATTGCAGATGTATTTACCACTGCAAAGCCGCACCTGGGAGCTTAGGTTGGGGAGGGAGGCAGATCCAGCAGAAAGCAGCAGCTGACCGGGAAGGGGTTAAATACCCCTCTTCTGCTGCTTTGCCACTCAAAATTGCCCTTTGCAGAAACTCCTGTTTTCCTAGGGAGGGGAAAGTGAGGGCTGGTTTTAAACAATGATATTTTTCCATAAGGTGACGTTTGCCCCCTGGAGATTGAGTGTGGATTGGGAAGTCACTGAGCCAAATCTCAGGAGCCACAAACTAGGAGGCCTTCAGCAAACCATTTTCTTAACAGCCTGGGCCCCCACTTGTCGCATGGAGGTGGTGACATTGGTCTACCCTACAAGACTGTTGTAAAAGTTACTGATATAATGCATGCAACGCACTCTGAGCACTTAGGAAAGGCTGATGGTGGCTGAGCTCCTGGTTCCAGGCTTTCCCAGTGGGGCAATTCATCTAGGTGGATGTCTGGATTTCATAGAATTGCAGCTTTGGAAGGGACCCTATGGGTCATCTAGTCCAACCCACGGCAATGCAGAAATCTTGAACCCATGATTAGAGTCTCATGCACTACCGACTGACTTAGTGATTTCAGCTACTGATTTGGAATGAAAGTTTTATTTCTTCTGTTACATGTTGTGTTTGTAATCTTACTGTTCATCTTTATGCCACGATGATTTTTAAAGAGGGGTGGCATTTTTATATTTTTTTGCAAGTGCGTAAATATAAGCAAACTGTACTTTATAACTGTACTTTTAAGGGTGCCTGTGTGTATATATACTAAAGCACAGTTCTGGAACTGCGCTGAGTTCCTAATACGTGTGAAACAGAAACTAAGAGAGCGGGGCTTTGAGCATAGACAGAGTGTTTCTTTCCTTTCTTTGTCCTGGAGAGCTCACAGCCTTTTCTCAGGAAATCCAGGTTGGGGAATGCAGAGATCATGTTGCCAAGAGGAAAGGTGTGACCTCAAGGCAACCTTGTTCCTGGGTCAGCAGAGGGAGGGGGTGGAGGCTGGGGGACTTGCGCTCTGTTTGCATCATCCACTTATTTTCCTTGCTGATGAGAGCAAGTGAAAGAGAGATAGCTGAAAGCTCCTCCCTGCAGTCTCTCTGGAGGCATTTGGAGCCTTGAGGCTGGCACGCTCTTCCGCTTGCATACAGTTCTGGAAACCTCTGCTCCCTGTTTAGAAGGCAGTGCCTGCAGGCAGCTTGTAGTGACGAAAAGGCAGCCTCCCTTCGCCTCCTGCATTCAGTTATGTTGGTGCAGATGATGTCCTTTTGCAAATCCTTGCACAGATTGTTGTTGTTTAGTTGTTTAGTCGTGTCCAACTCTTCGTGACCCCCTGGACCAGAGCACGCCAGGCACTCCTGTCTTCCACTGCCTCCCACAGTTTGGTCAGACTCATGCTGGTAGCTTTGAGAACACTGTCCCACCATCTCGTCCTCTGTCGTCCCCTTCTCCTTGTGCCCTCCATCTTTCCCAACATCAGGGTCTTTTCCAGGGAGTCTTCTCTTCTCATGAGGTGGCCAAAGTCTTGGAGCCTCAGCTTTAGGATCTGTCCTTCCAGTGAGCACTCCGGGCTGATTTCCTTCAGAATGGATAGGTTTGGATCTTCTTGCAGTCCATGGGACCCTCAAGAGTCTCCTCCAGCACCATAATTCAAAAGCATCAATTCTTCAGCGATCAGCCTTCTTTATGGTCCAGCTCTCACTTCCATATCACTACTGGGGAAACCATAGCTTTAACTATACAGACCTTTGTTGGCAAGGTGATGTCTCTGCTTTTTAAGATGCTGTCTAGGTTTGTAATTGCTTTTCTCCCAAGAAGCAGGCGTCTTTTAATTTCGTGACTGATGTCACCATCTGCAGTGATCATGGAGCCCAAGAAAGTAAAATCTCTCACTGCCTCCATTTCTTCCTCTTCTGTTTGCCAGAAGGTGATGGGACCCAGTGGCCATGATCTTAGCTTTTTTCATGTTGAGCTTCAGACCATATTTTGTGCTCTCCTCTTTCCCCCTCATTAAAAGGTTCTTTAATTCCTCCTCACTTTCTGCCATCAAGGTTGTGTCTGCAATCAATTATGTTTGTGCAAATGATGTCTTTTGCAAATCCTTGTGACTGTAACCCTGGTTTAAGGAGTAATAATAATTAATAATTATTACAACAACAACAACAACAACAACAACAACAACAACAACAACAACAACAACAACAATTAATCACTTATATCCTGCCTATCTGGCCGGGCGGGCGGCTTCCAACAGAATATTAAAATACAATAGTCTATTAAACAATTAAAAGCTTCCCTAAACAGGGCTCCCTTCAGATGTCTTCTAAAAGTCTGGTACTGTAGTTGTTCTTCTCTTTGACATCTGGTGGGAGGGCGTTCCACAGGGCGGGTGCCACCACCGAAAAGGCCCTCTGCCTGGTTCCCTGTAACCTCACTTCTCACAGGGAGTGAACCGCCAGAAGGCCCTTGTCACTGGACCTCAGTGTCCTGGTAGAATGATGGAGGTGGAGACGCTCCTTCAGGTATACTGGGCTGAGGCTGTTTAGGGCTTTGAAGGTCAGCACCAACACTTTGAATTGTGCCTGGAAACATACTGGGAGCCAATGAAGGTCTTTGAGGACCGGTGTTATATGGTCTTGGCGGCTGCTCCCAGTCCCCAGTCTAGCTGCCAACACTATGACCACCTTGCTGTGTGTGATGATTCAATACCCACCCATCCCTGAGGCAAACACCCTCATGCCTCATTGTACATGCAAAACATTGCTCGCCCCATTGTTCTCCCAAGCCATCAGCTTCTGGCACGAGAGGCAGCAATGACAGCTCATAAACTCTGCCCTCTGATGACTCCTGGGAGCAAACTAGGTTGGCATGGCTACCTTGGCAGGCTGGCTAATTTCCTCTACGGTTTGTGGGTGGACTGCACCAGGCAGGGCTGTTCTTAACTTTGCATGCCTGGGCACCGTGGTTTTCTCCCCACACATTGCAGAACTCATTGCCACTGGTTATTGTGACGGTCAGTCACACAGGGAGGGCTGTGTGGGTGGGTGGGCGTGCCCCAGGGCCAGATTAAGGTTTGATGCGGCCCTCAGCTACTGAAGGTACTGGGGCCCTTTATATGTCCAGCTGTCCTTTGTCAACAACAAATTGTCACTGTTTTGTTTGTGTTGAATATATGCTATATGGTCATTTATGGACCTAATAGGTATCTAAAGCCATTTGCACATAACAAATAGGAGCCTACACAACACAAAACACTGTTGCTGTATGTAGGTTTTATTTTATTCATTTTTTAGCTTATATTTTGGAAATGTACGTCCAGTTGTTGTTTTCCTTTAAATTTTTTGGGGCCGCCAAGAGACTGGGGCCCTGAGCTATAGCTTGTTCAGCTCAGGGGTCAGCAAACTTTTTCAGCAGGGGGGCCGGTCCACTGTCCCTCAGACCTTGTGGGGGTCCGGACTGTATTTTGAAAAGAAAATATGAACGAATTCCTATGCCCCACAAATAACCCAGAGATGCATTTTAAATAAAAGCACACATTCTACTTGTGTAAAAACACGCTGATTCCCGGACCGTCTATGGGCTGGATTGAGAAGGCGATTGGGCCAGATCCGGCCCCCGGGCCATAGTTTGCCTACCAATGGTTTAGCTTATACAGTGGTACCTTGGGTTACATCCACTTCAGGTTACATCCGCTTCAGGTTACAGACTCCGCTAACCCAGAAATAGTCCCTCGGGTTAAGAACTTTGCTTCAGGATGAGAACAGAGATCGTGCTCTGGCAGCGCAGCAGCAGCAGGAGGCCCCATTAGCTAAAGTGGTGCTTCAGGTTAAGAACGGACCTCCGGAACGAATTAAGTACTTAACCCGAGGTACCACTGTACATAAATCTGGCACTGGCATGCTCTACAGTGCTGCTTAGTCATGACTTCTACAACCAAGTGAAAATTGGTGTTTGAAGCATCCCCAGAGTCAGTCTGCTCTTTCTGGGAAGATAAGGTGAGAATGGTAGGGACGAGACTGATTTTGAAAAATTCGGAAGCCGGGCGTGGGGTGGAGACTGAAGTAAGACTTTCCACATTGGCTCGCACGGAGCAATGCGCTTTCTGCTAGCACCAGCTGTGAGCTTCAACCCTGCGCTTCCATCCCTCGAAAGCAACTGCCCTGAATGTTCAGGCACATGAGATGATGAAGTGTTTGGCAAGAACTGAAGCTCCCAGGGTCCAGAACCTCTGGGGAGAAACTGTTGCTGGGAGACTCTCTTCTCCTGAATCTTTTTGATTTTTTAAAAAATTTAAATTACATTTGGTGGGCACTGCATAGCAGGCGGTTTTCTGTGGCAGTGGTGCGTGCGGAACTAGCCTTCCCCAGACAACTCTTATTTTGCAGCATCTCTGTCCGGTTGAGGAGGAGATGGGTGAAAATGTTTCTCACTTTTGGTGCTGTTAAATCACTGATGTTGTTTTGAATGGATGTAAAGGTTTCATAACCGGGATGCGGGTGGCGCTGTGGGTTAAACCACAGAGCCTAGGGCTTGCCGATCAGAAGGTTGGTGGTTCGAATCCCTGCGATGGGGTGAGCTCCCGTTGCTCGGTCCCTGCTCCTGCCAACCTAGCAGTTTGATAGCACGTCAAAAGTGCAAGTAGATCAATAGGTACCACTCTGGCGGGAAGGTAAACGGCGTTTCCGTGCGCTGCTCTGGTTCGCCAGAAGCGGCTTAGTCCTGCTGGCCACATTGGTTCGCCAGAAGCGGCTTAGTCCTGCTGGCTTAGTCCTGCTGGCCACATTGACCCAGAAGCTGTACGCCGGCTCCCTCGGCCCATAGAGCGAGATGAGCACTGCAACCCCAGAGTCGGTCACGACTGGACCTAATGGTCAGGGGTCCCTTTACCTTTCATAGAATCATAGAACATAGAGTTGGAATAGACCACAAGGGCCATTGAGTCCAACCCCCTGCCAAGCAGGAAACACCATCAGAGCACTCCTGACATATGGTTGTCAAGCCTCTGCTTAAAGACCTCCAAAGAAGGAGACTCCACCACACTCCTTGGCAGCAAATTCCACTGTCGAACAGCTCTTACTGTCAGGAAGTTCTTCCTAATGTTTAGGTGGAATCTTCTTTCTTGTAGTTTGGATCCATTGCTCCGTGTCCACTTCTCTGGAGCAGCAGAACCTTTACCTTTAAAGGTTTCATAATGATGCCCTTTTTTATTACACAGAACTGTTATCTGGGTGGGTGGTTGTTGTTGTTTTTAAAAACAGCAATATAGCCTTTAATGCATGGGTAGGCAAACTAAGGCCCAGGGTCCGGATCTCGCCCAATCACCTTGTTTTTACATGAGTAGAATCTATGCTTTTATTTAAAATGCATCTCTGGGTTATTTGTGGCACATAGGAATTCTTCCATTCCCCCCCCCCAAATATAGTCCGGCCCCCTGCTGAAAAAGTTTGCTGACCCCTGCTTTAATGTATACTGCTGTCTTCTTCAATGCCCTTTGGGTAGTTCCAGTGCTTTACCCCCCCCCCAAAAAAAAGTTTAGGGGTACTCTCATTCCGTCTGAGACTCAGGAAACGCGGTGGCAGGAAATGAGGCCGCCATTGGGGGAATGGACGATTCACCGTGCTAGAGAAGAATCTATTTATTTATTTTCAGTTTCTTCTCCCGTTAGATTCACAAAGAATACATAAATAAATTTTTATTTATACCCTGCCCTTCCTGGTTCAGAAAACCGGGCTCAGGGCGGCTAACAACAAATTTTAAACACTTAATTGTAAAAGCAGCATAAAATACAGTATAAAAACATGAATAACAATAAAATTCAAAAATCAGAAATCAATTTAGGGGAAATCCATCTAATAAGCATTAGATAATTCCTAGGGCTAGCTGGCTGAATTGGTCCTATTTGGGCCAGTGAGGAGTTCAGGGGAGAATTAGCTGTGGGGTCTCAGAGCTGGTAATCTTCATAAAAAGGGGAGGGGGAGGGAAGAGAAGGGAAATAAAAGATCAGGCTGAATTCAAATTAAAGGCCAGGTGGAATAGCTCTGTCTTACAGGCCTGACGGAAGGAGGTTAAATCCTGCAGGGCCCTAGTCTCATGGGACAGAGCATTCCACCAGGTCGGAGCCATCACTGAGAAGGCCCTGGCCCTGGTGGAGGATAGTCTGACTTCCTTCAGGCCCGGGACCTCTAAACTATGATTATTCATGGACCTTAAGGTCCTCTGCAGGGCAGACCAGGAGAGGTGGTCCCGTAAGTACGAGGGCCCTAAGCCACAAAGGGGTATGAATACCCCCGGGGGGGGGAAGCCCTGGGTCGTTCAGTCAATGTTAAATGAGAAGGGGTGCTGTTAAGAACCACAGGTTGGCTCCAAAGGCAGACATCCGCCAGTTCTCATGTCCACAATCTCAGTTTCTAAAGATGGTCTGTTGCTTAGTACCAGACACTGAGGACTAGTAACAGGGCTAGGAATGGATATCTGTTTATTTCATGAAATTTATATACTGCCTGATTGAAAAAGAAACCTGAAAAAGACCCTCAAAGTGGTTTACAAAAAACACCGTATTGTAGTTTTCCCTTTTCTCTTTTTTAGGTCTCTCATTTTCTCGACATTTCTTCTTTGTACTTTAGACTTAAGTAGCTGCTTTCCTTAGTATATTATAAAAAAATACTTTGTAACGGGTGTGTATCTTTGTATATCTAAGAATAAGTGTCCGTAAATAAGTTAACAGAGGGGGAAAGTGGGTTACAAAAAAGATAAAACAATAAAATTATCGATAGGAAAAATTAACATCAGTTTAAGATTTTCCAAAAATTAAAGTAGCAATAGACTAAAAACAGATTAAAAACTCGCACCAGCTTTCTAAATATCCGGGTGGGCTTGCCTGAACAAAAATGTGCCGAAAAGATTACAGGGAGGGAGTTCCAAAGTTCTGGTGCTGCCACAATAAATGATCAAGTGCAGAATGGGTATTATACATTAAGGGGGTCTTATCTCCCTTGGTCACCTAGCTGTGCCCCCTTGACCCTTTTGATTTAACCCCTTGCGCTCCTAACTTTCCCCCTCCAGATGAGTCTGCTTGCGCAGGAGTGCCCTCTGGTCGTTGCATCGCAGAAGAAGCAGCAGCGGCTGGACTTTGATGATGCATCTGAGACCGGCATCCCAGAAGCCAAGCGCCCGCGTCTCAGCCTGCTGCCCAGCCCAAGCCCCTGCCTCCAACCCCTTGCCTCCAGCCCCCTTCCTGCCACAGATCAGGAGTCAAGGATATCCCAGATTGGCCCATATATCATTCTGGAGGCCACCGAAGGCGGCCGCTGCTACAGGGCTGTGGACAGACACACGGAGGCAGAATACACCTGCAAGGTAGGAAACCTGCTGGAGAAAATAGTCTTTTTTTCCTGACCTGTTTCCCATTATTATTATTATTATTAGTATTATTATTATTATTATTATTATTATAATACAGGGGCAGCCACAGTAAAAGCCCTGCTCTGATTTAATGCGGAAGGAGCTTCTGAGATCTTTGTATCTTGCATGATGAAGTCTCCTGCAGGTTATATACTGCTGGGCATATAAGGGATAAGGTGGTCTTGGTATCAGTCTGTCTGGAGAGGCAGTAGAGGGTGCCTCTGGGGGTTGAGATCAAACTGTGGCTGCAGAGACCGGTAACTTGTAACTGTTGCCTCTTGTGTTGTTTTTGCTGTGTTAGCAGCACTGAATCCTGGGCAGTGTGTCTGAAGGTCCTGGGCTACCCAGACAATAAGACCCCCTCTTGGCTTCACTGATGTGATCCAAAGGGAAGTGGAGCAAGACATTTGGCCGCAGCTTGGCTGCAGGAGTTGCTGGAAGGCAGCAGACCAGGCACCATCCAACCATCTTAGGGACTCCAGATTTGTGTAGGGTTTACGTCATAGCTTTTTCTTCTGAATACAGTGGACCCTCCAGATACGAACTTAATTTGTCCCAGGGGTCCGTACTTGCCCCCAAAAGTCCATATCCGGAGCCGCTGCTTCTGCGCATGTGCGTGGCACGATACAGCGCTACTGCGCATGCACCCACGGCGAAACCCAGAAGTATACACTTCCCGGTTTGCCACATTCGTAACTCGAAATTACGTTACCCCAAGGTAATGTAACCCGAGGTACCACTGTATGTCTCTAGCAAACACTGCATTTTAAAATGCATTTTTGAAACTCAGAATTGTCCCTCTTTGCCTCAAGGCTGGTAACTTTGGACTTGAAAGTTTTTGCAGCCCATGTGCAATTCTGAAATACCGAGTCTCACCACTCGTCCATCTACCTCAGTATTGCCCACTCGGACTGGCAGCAGCTTTCTGGGGTTTCAGGCAGGGGTCTTTCTGAACCTGGGACGGTCTACATACAGGGGAGATGCTCTGTCGCTGAGCTTTGGTCCTTCCTTTGTGGAGCAGGCAACAATCTGGTATCTTCCATCCTGCCATTTTCAAAATTGCCTCTTTGAACGAGGCTGTGTGTGTTGGGGAGGGGGATATTTTGCTAACCCTTTGTTGAACAAGGAAGAATCCTGTGCCACTTTAAAGGCAAACAACTTTATAACGGTGCATAATAGTCATTTGTAGACTAGAGTCAATAATAATAATAATAATAATAATAATAATAATAAGCGGCTAACACCAGTAAAATTACAATAAAAACATAATGGGGGGGGGGACAATTTAACATACAGGTTGAAAATACAATTTAAAATGCAGCCTCTTTTTAATAGTAGCCCATAGATCAAAACCATAAGGGGAGGGAAACATAAGGGTCAGACTGAGTCCAAACCAAAGGCCAGGCGGAACAGCTCTGTCTTGCATGCCCTGTGGAAAGATGTCAAGTCCCACAGGGCCCTAGTCTCTTGTGACAGAACGTTCCACCAAGTCGGGGCCAGTACTGAAAAGGCCCTGGCCCTAGTGGAAACCAATCTAACCTCCTTGAGGCTCGGGACCTCCAAGGTGTTGTCATTTGTGGACCTTAAGGTCCTCCGTGGGACATACCAGGAGAGGCAGTCCCGTAGGTACAACGGTCCTAGGCCGCTTAGGGCTTTAAAGATCAAAACCAGCACATTAAACCTGACCCTGTACTCCACCAGGAGCCAGTGCAGCTGGAAAAGCACTGGGTGAATGTGATGCCCGTAAGGAGCATTCTGCACCTGCTGGAGTTTCTGGGTCAGAATGAAAAAATTCCTTCCAGTAGCACCTTAAAGACCAACTAAGTTAGTTCTTGGTATGAGCTTTCGTGTGCATGCACACTTCTTCAGATACAAGTGTGCATGCACACGAAAGCTCATACCAAAAACTAACTTAGTTGGTCTTTAAGGTGCTACTGGAAGGATTTTTTTTTGTTTTGACTATGGCAGACCAACACGGCTACCCATCTGTAACTGGGTCAGAATGATTACGCCAACCTTTGCCCAGCTGGTGCCCTCTATATGTTTTGGATGCACACTGACTGCGGCTAATAGGAGCTGCAATCCAAAACGTGTGGAGGGCACTGGCTTGGCGAAGCTGCCTTATGCCTTGATAAATTTGTGTGTCTTTTATGAAGTGCCACAATATTATTTTTCCCAACAGCAGAGCTGCTAGCGGCTGAGCAACGCTGACACCTGCTGGCTGAACCTGGAATGTCATGCCCGCTTTGAGTTGGCCATTGTTTCTGAAATACTCTCTTTCCTCCAACTCCCCAGTGGCGTAGCGTGGGGGGTGCAGGGGGGGCCGGCCGCACCGGGCGCAACATTTGGGGTTAGGGCAAATCCACAGGTTAGGGGGCGCAAATCCACGGGTTAGGGGGCGCAAATTACTTGCCTTGCCCCGGGTGCTGACAACCCACGCTATGCCACTGCAACTCCCAACCCACCAAGTTTACTTTTTTAGTATGAAAAGAGTTGAGGATTATGTGCTTCTGGAGGGGGTGTTCTGTTTGGAAGGAGGGAAGCCCAGCTCCTCTAGAAGCTCCTCTGCCAAAGGTTTTCTGTTGCTGGACAATAAAATAGCTGTTTCTTATTTAATAAAGTCAGTGATTACAAAGTAATGCCAATCGCAGGGCAATGCCATCCATGTCTAATTGAAAGTAAAGCCATAATTCACACTGTCATGTGTGCAATATGCAATATAGAAGAGCAGAAGCAACAAAATGTATCCACTTAAAAACCTCATAAAGCCAAGAAATACTGATAAGTTAAAAAGCGAAAATTAACATTGGAAAGGAGTGTCTAAACAATAATGACATCTGAAAGAAGGGAACGGATTTTATGCACTATCATTTTTTTGGAACAGAGAAAAACACACTTAACAAGGCCATACATGTCTACTCTGAAGTAAGTCCCATTGTGTTCAAGGGGCCCTACTCCTAGGTAGAAGAGAACAATAGCTTTACTTCCAAGCAGACATGGATAGGATTGCGCTGTTAAGAGTGCCCATGGATTTGTCTTTTAAAGCCACCACTGCCTACTGTGGCAGCGAGTTCCACAGGTTAACTGCGCGCTGCATTTGCACTTGTTCTGCTCATTTGCTTCCTTGTAACGATTTGCTCCTTGTTTTTAGGTCTATCCAGCCAAGAGCTACCCAGAGGCGCTGGCCCCTTACGGCGCCCTTCCAGCGCATCCCAACATCGCCCGTGTGGCGGATGTGATTGTCGGGGACCAGAACATTTACGTCTTCTTCCAGCCCGGGAGGGACGACATGCATAACTATGTGCGGCGGTGCAAACGCCTTCCCGAGCCCGAGGCTGCTGTCCTCTTCCGTCAGATGGCCGAAGCGGTTGCCCACTGCCACCAGCACAACGTGGTCCTCCGGGACCTCAAACTGCGGAAATTCGTGTTTGCTGACCGAGAAAGGTGAGGAGATGAGAAGGGGCATCTGTTGACACTTTCCTGCTCAATTGCTCAGCTCCACTGGACATTATGCACGGCATGAGCGCATCAGAGGCGCATTTAACTTGCATGATTTCAACCATAGGCTGGCTGGTGGAAACTGCCTCGAGCCAGCCAACAGGAAATCACACTGAAAAAGCTGTTTCTTGTTTAATAAAGGCCGCGATTACAAAGTAAAACCAATTGCACGGCAATCCCATCCGTGTCTAGTTGAAAGTAAAGCCATAATTCACGTGTACCTGGGAGCTGTGCCCCTTGAACACAATGGAACTTACTTCTGAATAGACATGGCTAGGATTGTGTTGTTCAGAATATTCATCTGTGGCCCACCTTTCAATTGCTAATGCGCAGAATCAGGATATTTCTGGAGTTAACGCTTTATTAGCAAAACAGGATCTGCACAGGAGTGTCAGGCCTAATGAGCACAGCAACTCAGGTCTTGCCCCCATGTACCGGTTGCCGAGACTAAAGGTCCCCACCTCCCCAAAGATTATGTCTCCTCCTATCCAGGGTGTTTTCCAAGCAATCAGAGACTGTGCCTGTATATCCTTCCGCTCCTTTGCTCCTCTCACTTTTTGCCTCTCCTGGTTCTGGGACACCAGGCAGGAAGAGAGCTTGTTGCAGCAGGAAGGGGAGAAACCTGTGCCTCTTCACCAGCCAGACTCCTCTCTGCCTCTTGTCTCCCTCATCCCACCCTCCTGCTTCCACTTCTGCCTCCGATTCTGGACTGCTCTCTGCCACAGACTCTCCCCGCTCACTAAGTCCTGTTGCCTCTTCAGCTTTCGACATTTCCTCTTCCCTGTCTTCTCCCTCTGACCACTCATTGTCGCCCCATCACCCCTCCTAGGCTGTGAGCCTTCCTCCCGTGGGGGTTTTCCAGGCAGTTCCTCCCACTATTCCTCTGCATCCACCCAGTCCAGGACAGCAAGTTAACTCCAAGCTAGGCAGAGAGCTTAAAAGGTCTTTTTGCAACAGGTCTGCTTAGGGTTACCTGGTGTGTAAAGAGCTTTTAAGCTTTCTGTAGGCTCTGAGAGTGCTCAGAATGCCCTTCCTTCCTTCCTTCCTTCCTTCCTTCCTTCCTTCCTTCCTTTTCTTTCTCCAACCCATTAGCTGCAGGGTGGTTTCAAGGATTTGGGTACAAGAAATTACTGTGTACCTGTAGGACCCTTGGAACTGAACTCGTGCATAAGTAAGATGCAATCGTACTGTTCAGTACTCAGGTTTATGGCTTATTGCAGATTGACTGATCCAAATTAAGTGTCCAGAGTTGTTTTTTAAAATGTTTGTGCCATACCTGCCTATATTCCTCCTAAAATGTTTTTGGAATCTTGTGCTTCTTCCCCAACAGAATCATTCAAATAAATCAGGGGGCGGGCAGGAGAACCCAAATTCTGTAAAAAACAAAGAAAAGGGGGGACCCATCAGTTACACAGCCAAACTGCAGATCTGCTCCCAAGCTTGACTGATCCATCCCTATTGCAGAATTCGGGTCTCCTGGCTGCAAAATTAAGGGTGCTTTTCCATTGTATTCCATTGTATTCTGCCTTTGAGTGATCTCTGGCTCCTGGCTAACTCTCCCCTTGGATTTCTGCCCAGATCCAAACTGCTGCTGGAGAATCTGGAGGACTCGTGTTTGCTGAAAGGTCCCGACGACTCCTTAGAGGACAAGCACGGCTGCCCGGCCTACGTGGGTCCCGAGATCCTCAGCTCCAAGGCGTCCTACTCTGGCAAGGCTGCTGACATCTGGAGCCTGGGTGTGGTGCTCTATACCCTCCTCGTGGGGTGCTACCCCTTCCAAGACACCAAGCCCCTGTCTCTCTTCGGCAAGATCCGCCGCGGGCGCTTTGCCATCCCCGAGGACCTCTCGCCCAAAGCCCGCTGCCTCATCCGCTGCCTCCTGCGAAAGGACCCATCTGAGAGGCTGACGGCCAGCGGAATCCTATTGCACCCATGGCTGGCTCCTGGCAGCTCCTCCGAGGGCTCTTGGAGCAGCCCCTCCAGAGATCAGGGGCTGGAGCAGGTGGTTCCAGACGTGGGGGGCTTGAGGGAGGTCAAGGCCAAAGAGGAAGAGGAGGGAGGCCTGTACAGCTGAGCCGCCAGGAGAACGAGATGGACAAAAAAGCAACAGGGTGACTCCTGTCTTGACCTGACTAGCCATGAACCATGGGAGGGAGACCCCCTCTCACCCTTCAGTTCCCTCGCTAGGATCATGCCCCAGAAAGAAGTGTCTTCATTTGCCAGCAAACTGGGAGGACGGGTGCTTTGACATCCAGGTCAGGGACGATGGCGGAGCGTCAGCACCTTCCTCGCATCACAGCGCACGCTTCGTGGCGCGCTCCTCGTTCGCATGTGCCAAAGGACCGTTCCGGAACTCTTGATCCCCACCAGCAAAACTCTCCTGCATTGAGAAAGGGGCACTTCTTGGCAGCCCTGAGGGACTCCGAAACTAAGGCCTGGAGCTCCGAGCCACTGTTCTCGCAGAACGACTTGTTGGCAAAAGAGGTTCAGGTTGCAAAAGGATGGATGGATTGCAAGATCAAGGACTGGGAATTTGTGACTGACCGGCTGCCTCGGTCAAAGCGCCGGACTGGTTTTTTGTTTGAATCAGAAAGCGGCTGTAAAGACACTCTCTTGCTGCAGTCCGGCTGCCGTTTTTGGAAGAAGTCGTTCCCCGTTCTGCAGTGCTGAACGAAAGTCTGCTTTGCCTGGGGGACCCAGATGCCTTGTGAGGGAGGGGAGCAGGGTGCCAGCCTTGGAGGGAAGGGGCTGGGGTCAGCAGCTGTGTGCGGTCTCCTCTCCCCCCCCTTTTGACAACTCCTAGAAAACTTGTGGCCTTAAACAACTACACCCCCCCCGCCCAGTTTTCACCACAGTGCCTCCAATTTCTGCCCTTAAAATGAGGTTCCCGGTGGGCCTTAACTTTTTCTCTACTTGAATTTACCTCAGTACTTGACAGTTTCCAGGGTGCCTGGGTTGCGCTGCCAGCCCCCAGCCTGAGACCTTCCCCACGGTGCCTTTCCTACTTGCCTCCCCAGGGCTGAAGGAGAAACTCTGCCATGCTAGGTGGGTTGGATCTTAAAAGCCTTTTAAAATCAAATACATGCCTCCGTCTCGCTTTCTTTGTGGGGTGCTACCCCTTCTGGGGTGCCCTGAATATTGCACCACATCTCTAACCTCCATTTTTGAAAAACCAGAACTTCATTCCCACCCCAGTATTCCACGAAACGGTCCATTGCTGGTTGTTTGAACCACAGGGAGGAGGAGGAGGGTTGCCAACGCTCAAAGTGCGGTCCCTCTGCAGGGGTCTACAGGCTTCTCTTGCCAACATTTGTGGGGGCTGGGACCCCAGCACACCCCTATTGTCTTTGGCCTTCTGCAGGGCACCCATGCTTGGGGGCCTGCATAGATTTTTCTCTATTTTTTTTCTTGGGGGTTGGTTGGTGAGGCAACGCTGCAAGAGGAAGTGTTTCTGACAAAAACAGGCAAAATGTATAGGCATGCGGTGGATGCTCGGGTCGCAAACGTGATCCGTGTGGGATGCACGTTCGCAACCCGCAGTGGCACGTCTACGCACGCGTGGGTTGCAACTCGGCGCTTCTGCACATGCGCAAAGCGTGATTTAGTGCATGCGCGACCACCGAAACCCAGAAGTAACCCGTTCCGGTACTTCCGGGTTTTGGCGGTCCATAACCCGAAAAAACACAACCTGAAGCATCTGTAACCCGAGGTATGGCTGTATATCTCAGGTTCTACAAATTCTCAAGACACACCGACCCAATCTGTTGACGGCTTTCTTTTAACAGTCACAGCTTTGCCCAAAGAACCCTGGAAACAGCAGATTCCCTTTGCAGAGCTATAGTTCTCAGAATTACTGTATTGAGGAGTTGCCATGCCAGTGTCGGACAAGAGCATGATTTGGAGGCTGAGAAAGGTAGTGGTCGGGATTGATAGTGGCAAACTTCACCCCTTGCCAACCCACACGTCCCCATTGAGAAGCCACTGCCGCCAGCCTACTCTGTTCCGGAGCAGGATTTGGTAGGGTGGGGGGTGGTCAGAGCTAAAGAGATTCTGCTGCCTTAGCAAGTGCAGCTTCCAAACAGCAACCCCGCAGCCTTGGAGCTAGGGAGGGCGGCAGGGATCTCTGCACATGGGCAGGAGACTGTCTCCGCCCTTCTCTTGAGCTGTTGCAAACCGCCTTAGCGCAGCCTTCTGCAAAAACCTGGCACCCTCTCGACATTTTGGACTCCCGTCGGCACCGGCTGCGGCTGATGGGAGCTGGAACCCAAACATCGGGAAGGTGCGAGGTGAGAAAGGGCTGGAGTTAGCCACACATCCCAGAGGGCCCTGGCACGCTCACCGGGATGGGCACAAATGTGGTGGGCTGTTTCTCCTGGAGTCAGAAGAGCTGTCGAGCAGGATCCTGACACATACTTCAGGGTCTCTCTCCTCTGCCCCATGCCAGCTCTGCCCTCCCAGGTTGGCGTGGGAAAACAGAGTGCTGCATTCCCACCCCCCATGATGGAAAGCCAGATTTTAATCTCTCTGTCTCCCTGGGACCTGAAAGGTCAGGTGTCCCTTAAGACATGGTTGCAAAACTGGTTTTAAGACACATTCCTTCTCCTCTGGGAATTGCCCCTCTTGGAGGGGGCTGGGCACCTCTAACAAGGCTCTCAGCACATCAGAAGAGCCTGCTGGATAGGAACACAGGAAGCCGTCTTACATTGAATGAGACCATTGGTCCATCCAACTCCATACTGTGTACACTGGCTGGCAGCAGCTCTGAAAGGTTTCAGGCAGCAGTCTCTCATAACCCCACGGGGAGCGAATCTGGGACCTTCTGCATGCAAACTGGGCCAGTGACCCATCTTAAACCCGCACCTTAAAGTGGCCAAGCGAATTTGTTGTTGTTTAGTTGTTTAGTCATGTCCGACTCTTCGTGACCCCATGGACCAGAGCACGCCAGGCACTCCTGTCTTCCACTGCCTCCCGCAGTTTGGTCAAACTCATGTTTCTAGCTTCGAGAACACTGTCCAACCATCTCGTCCTCTGTCATCCCCTTCTCCTTGTGCCCCCCATCTTTCCCAACATCAGGGTCTTGTCCAGGGAGTCTTCTCTTCTCATGAGGTGGCCAAAGTCTTGGAGCCTCAGCTCCAGGATCTGTCCTTCCAGTGAGCACTCAGGGCTGATTTCCTTCAGAATGGAGAGGTTTTGGGAAACCTGCAAGTGGGAGCTGATCACAACAGCAACCTCCCAGCATCCTTTGGGAGGGAGTTTTGACGGTTGAGCTGCTGCAAAAACGGGCGCACGGTTCTGCCCTCGGGGTGACTTTTTGTTTATGCAGGAAGGGCGTGTTGGAACCAGTGCGGGCAGACGCCTCGGGCGAAAAAAACCCCAGCTTCTAATCAGCAAACCTTGGATATAAGGGTGAAACTGGGGGAGCTGGAACCCGGCTGGTGCTTTCAGGGGAGAGCGAAAAGGGTCAGTGATTTGTCTCCTTTGGAAATAATTCTCTCTGGTGCACATGCAGCCAAAGATGCTCCAGTTCTGGTTTAGTCCTTCCTGCCTCTGCCTCCGCCTCCCCCAGCCGCCCGTCATCCTCCCTTGGTGCAAATGTAGCTTTCATACCTGACCAAATAATAACACTACCATTGGGAGAGGCCTTCTGTGTTGTTTTTTTAACAGAGTGAATTCACCTATTTTTCTGTCTCTTGGAAATTAAAAGATGTATTGATTTGCTGTCGAGAGTATCATTGCAGCGGACCTCTGTTGCAGTTTGATTCCCCTGCAAGGACGGATGTTGCTGGACTCTGGTGCCGCTCTCCCAGGCCAGGCAATTGGCCCATCTTGGCACCTGCTGGTTTCTGAGCGATTCTCCGTCCTTTCCCTGGACCTGCCAGGAATTGAACATGACCTTTTCCAGAGGGATGCATTCCAATGGTTCGCCAGGCCGGAGGCCAAAGTAGGACAAGGAATGAATGTAGCCTAATTTCTCTATACACCCTCCCCCTTTCTATAAAGACAAGCAAAACATGATCAGAGTTTAAGGATACATTTGACTCGAACAGAAACAAGGAGGATGTGATGTGGAGCTGATTGTGGCCTGGGCAAGTGTTAGAACCAATTATACAGTGGTACCTCAGGTTACAGACGCTTCGGGTTACAGACTCCGCTAACCCAGAAATATTACCTCGGGTTAAGAACTTTGCCTCAGGATGAGAACAGAAATCGCGCAGCGGTGGCAGCAGCAGGAGGCCCCATTAGCTAAAGTGGTGCTTCAGGTTAAGAACAGTTTCAGGTTAAGAACAGACCTCCGGAATGAATTAAGTACTTAACCCGAGTACCACTGTAATCTAATTGCCAAATGGCACCTTAAACCTAGGTTGCAGTTGCCACAATGGAATGTCTAGGCACCATATTTTGTTTTTGCAGTGCATTATTATTGGGGACGCGGGTGGCGCTGTGGGTTCAACCACAGAGCCTAGGACTTGCCGATCAGAAGGTCGGCAGTTTGAATCCCCGCGACGGGGTGAGCTCCCGTTGCTCGGTCCCTGCTCCTGCCAACCTAGCAGTTTGAAAGCACGTCCAAGTGCAAGTAGATAAATAGGTACCGGCAGGAAGGTAAATGGCGTTTCCATGCACTGCTCTGGTTCACCAGAAGCGGCTTAGTCATGCTGGCCACATGACCCAGAAGCTGTACGCCAGCTCCCTCGGCCAATAAAGCGAGATGAGCGCTGCAACCCCAGAGTCGGCCATGACTCGACCTAATGGTCAGGGGTCCCTTTACCTTTTATTATTATTATTAAATATTATTCCACTTTATATTTTAAAGAACAAATCCCACATCAGTTTACAACACATTAAAACATCAAATTAAACAATCCAGAATAAAACAAATTCAAGATTCAAGGAAAATATTTCAGATCCTTCTCTAAGTGACTTTTTTTGCTTTCTCCAGTTGCCAGCCTGGCATCTGAAGATCCCCTGTGTGTTTACAATTGGACCAGCACCAGTCGCAAAACACGCCTGGCTAATTTCTAACACTGGGCCTGGGGGCTGAGGCCTGGAGGGGAGCATTCAGCCCCTAGGCCTGAGGTTAACCCCTTTGATCCCGTGTGGCTTTGAAAAGTTAGTAACTGGTCTGCTGGAAGCAAAACAGACTCGCCATAGGTGAGCTTCTGTTTACAAACCTAAGATGAGTACTTCTACTTTTTTGGCTGCATTTATCCCCCCACCCCAAGGAACTGTGGGTGGCATGTACATACCCAACTCTCTTATCCAGCCTTCCTACAACCTGGTGGCTTCCTGGTGTTTGAGAGGACAATTTCAAACCTCTAGAAGTTTGGGATTGAAACTCCATCATTGTTGTTTAGTCGTGTCCGACTCTTTGTGACCCCCTGGAGCAGAGCACGCCAGGCACTCCTGTCTTCCACTGCCTCCTGCAGTTTGGTCAGACTCATGCTGGTAGCTTCGAGAACACTGTCCAACCATCTTGTCCTCTGTTGTCCCCTTCTCCTTGTGCCCTCCATCTTTCCCAACATCAGGGTCTTTTCCAGGGAGTCTTCTCTTCTCATGAGGAGGCCAAAGTCTTGGAGCCTCAGCTTCAGGATCTGTCCTTCCAGTGAGCACTCAGGGCTGATTTCCTTCAGAATGGATAGGCTTGATCTTCTCGCAGTCCATGGGACTCTCAAGAGTCTCCTCCAGCACCAGAATTCAAAAGCATCAATTCTTCGGCGATCAGCCTTCTTTATGGTCCAGCTCTCACTTCCATACATCACTGCTGGGAAAACCATAGCTTTAACTATACGGACCTTTGTTGGCAAGGTGATGTCTCTGCCTTAAGATGCTCTCTGGGTTTGTCACCGGCAAGCCACTCCAGTATCCATGCCAAGAAAACTCCATGGACAAAGACAACAGGAAACTCCATTGAATGATGAGAATTGTAGCCCGAAACATCCAGAGAGCACCAGGTTGGCAAAGGCTGTGCTAAGCTGACGTGTTCTTGTTACGTCTCACACCCTACAAATACAGAATAGCCTGTCAGAACTTCCTGTCTCTCTCTCTCTCTCTCTCTCTCTCTCTCTCTCTCTCTCTCTCTCT